TCTTGTTAATGTTTGTCATTCAAATTTGGTAGACGGCCCCAACGTTAATGTGGCTCTTGCTATGTGTTGGTTCAGCCGAATTAATTATTATATAATCAAGTTTATTTTTCTCGTTAGTTGTCATCCGGCCAAACATTAAGCAACTTATATTGCAGTACCATTTATCATTTAGTAATCAAAATATGTCATTGTAATTTTGCATGGCTGAAATGTAACGCTTGATTTATATATATAATGATTAATTGAATTTTCAAATAAAATGCAGCTAACCATAGAAGTGTATCTGATGATATTTTAGAACTCGAAATTTGGGAGAGTATTTGGCACTTAAACTTCAATCCTGCCAAGTGTAAAGTAGTCCATATTAATCTAAATAATAATCCTAACTCGAATTATATTGTAAATGGAGTAGAACTAGAAGTATCTGCACAGGAAAAAGATTTGGGGGTTATTACCCATAGCTCCTTGCTTTGGAATGAACAGATAAAAGCATGTATTTCTAAAGCAAATCGTATGATCTGCTGGATTGTAAGAAATTTAGTTATTAGAGAAAAGGTTGTAATGATAGCTATTTATAAAGCTTTGATAAGACCTCATCTTGAGTATTGTGTCCAATTGTGGAATCCAGTTGCGGCTCATGGAAGTTGGGGGACTGTTTTGGAGCTGGAGAGCGTCCAGAGGCGGTTTACCCGTCTTATTGATGAGGTGGGTACTCTTCCATACAGCCGCAGACTGGATATCCTCAATTTGACAACGCTGGCAGAGCGGCGAATACGTGGGGACCTTATCGAAGCTTTTAAAGTAACTAGTGGTTTGACTGAATATGGATCGGGTTTGTTCAGAATGAGCAGATCTGGTCTTAATCTAGTTTCAACTAATAGGTGTAATAAGAGTGTAACTAAAGTTAAGAATCTCCAGTCTTCTTTTCTTCCGGAGCGAGTCATTCCTTACTGGAACAAACTCCCTTCGGATGTCAAGAACTGCTCGACAGTTTTAAGCTTTAAAGTAAGATTGGAAGGATTTAAGAAAGAAATGATTTCTAAAAACAGTGTAAATGATTTTTATTTTTGGAATATTTCGAGTGAAGTTTTAGGGAAAATTGAAGGACCCAGTTATTTAAGCAATAAGGAGACACATAATGAATATCTTTGGTTTCATCCTTTTGTGGCAAAGAAGCGTTTTATAAATCTTAATTCCACTGGGAAGTATTAATGAATTATTTATAGATAATGTATTAGATTTTATTAATTAATAAAATTGAATTTGATAAATTATTAATGTTGATGGAAAAATATATTTATTTAAATTATTTTTTTATTTAGTGCAATGATATTTTGTAGATCACTTGTGATGATGTTATGTCATAATCTTTACTTACTTACTTACTTACTAGGGGGGACTCCCAACCCACCGCCTCGGCGGGTAGTTGATACACCTTTCACAAGCAAGAGCCACTTTGGTCAACTTGCTGTGAGGTGTCTCAGCTACATGGGTTGGGGGTCCCCCCTTTTTTTTTTTTTTTTTTTTTCAAGGTTAGGGGTACACATACATAGTTTATCAATACGGGTGTAAGTAAGTGACTCATTGATGTAAATTCCCACTCCACTACCTTTAGATTTGTCACGTAATTTATTGGTGTATTCAGAGAGATAACCGGGTATCCTATACAGGTCTTTGAGGTTTGCATCAATATTTGTCTCAGCCAAGCCAATAAACGAGAGTGGATGACTGTACTGTGAGATTTCTGTGACAAATGTATCAAAATTTGCAGCATTTCCATCAATATTGTTAAAAATACCAGTAAGGTTCTGCCCATTTCTATGATACAGCTTTATGAGGTTCTTAAAGCTTTTATGATCATAATTTTTACAGCTTTTATGGATTTCATTGATTTCAATATTATAGCGCATCTTGCCGAAATTTTAACAAATGTAGCCTGGTTCATTGTTAATGGTGAACGCATTGCACGACAACTAATTTCACTAATATTACTGAATATTACTACGAATATTACTTAATATTCAATATTACTAACAGTAATATTATAAACCCCTCCGGGTCAGAATAAGATGCTGATAATCCCGGCTCCCGCTAAATAGATTCTGATAATCCCGGCTCCCGCTGTTAGTTTTTTCCCGCTGAATAAATAACCCCGACACAGCTTCTATAATCCCGCCCCGGTAATTTAGCTCAACTAGATTTGTTTTGTTTTGATATTACATGATAATTTCAACCGCGCACTGTCACGTGACCTATGGCTTAACGTAAGAACTATTTAATACACTTGATCTACGTATCGGTCTAATTGCAGGCGATGGCAAAACTCCAGCACACTGCTTACATTACTTAAACTCTTACATTAATTGGACCAGTTCCAGAACTTGTCTCGACGGTTACATTTGAGTTTTACCTGGGGACCTCAGGCTATCATGTTTACAAACATAGAATAGAGATTAGGCGGAATGACAGGCTGAGCGCGGCCCAGTAAATCATTCGCTACTCGGCAAGGTTTGTCATACGTTGTATGACCCGCCGCGCACGAGTGCAGAGTGTGCGACTCCCCCTGTATCGTAGAAACTATTCTGTATCGTAGATACTCCCCTGAATCGTAGAAACTCTACAGGGCCGGGGTAGTCGTTTCAACTATAGTGAAATTAATATAAAACAACAATGGGGTCACGACGTGATACAAGGCAAAACCCAGTGGTGCATTTTGCCGATCTACCGATTGCCGATGTCGATCAATGATCATGGTTGCGAGAAAAATTATTTGATGCGCTGCACGGCCCAATAGACAATAGTGCATCGCGCTACAAATATTATTAATACTCTACCAGGGGTTTTTATATTATTTTGCGGTTAATATTCTGTTTGTAGTTTGTTACTATTAGGTTGGAGTTTATTTTATTACTTAGTACGGCGTAAGACTCTTAACCCTTATTACCCTATTACCCTAACCCTTGACGGATGTTACTCTTCTAAATTTCTTCGAAGTAGCGCGCGCCGCTTTCTTCTGGAAATGTTGGCCCGATGGTAAGTACCACGCGCGAAGTAGCGCGCGCCGGGCCAGATCATTAACAATGGTCAACCCTAATCCCCTCACCCGCCACCGTAGAGTCCGGCGCGGACCCCGTTCGAGTTAATACATTGAGTTATTATATCAACACCCAAAAAACCTTATTGCCTGCCGGGCTCGCTAGAGGTGATCGATTTTCATCAAAACGTTTGTCCTCGCGCGTCACATCAAGTTTACAAGCTTTCGCACGCTGCATTGAGCAAAGTAGTCATGACAACGCGACGACATTACTTTGCAAAATTTAAAAGCTGCGATCTTTTATTTAGCTCAAAATCAAACTTTTCGGTTTAATTCAAAATCTAAGTTGTCCCAAATTTTGCTCCCGGGGAGCTAACTTTAAATTTACGAGACGTAAATTTTGTTGAAAACCGGAAGGTTCTATTTATTTTACTTTTGGAGGTATACCCAAGCCGGTAGGGTTTGCTGGGCCTAACCTACGCGCGTTTGCACTTTCATTTTAAAACGTTCACTTTGACAAACCATTACTCTCCACCAATCAAGTCAATTTTCAATTTTAAAATATCAAAAGAAAATAGAGAATTTTGCCAACACGAAAGGGGCTCCCTGGATGGGGTAGTAAAAACGCGATCTGCACTCTCAAAATCGACTTTTAAAACTTCATACATTTTCCCCCGAAATTATAAGTCTTATTATACTGCAAAACATCCCCCTACCTCCTTGATTCACGATGTCAATCCTTCGCAGCTCGGTGAGGCACAGTGGTGCATCTCGCCGATCTACCGAAGGATTGATGCATAACAACAAGACACGCGCTAAAGACGCGCATTTTCTGAGTGATGTTAACGATAGCTTTAAATTCACTGATGTCATTATTATTCAGCGTGACCGGTAATAGTTTAAAAATCAGAAGGAGAAAACACATGTTTAAATTACTAAAAAAGGAGTATCACTTTACAGGATTGAATTTAAATATAGTCATAATAGATAAGAGAGGAATTTGTTTCCCTTTGAATCAATCAAACTAGATGAATTGTTGTAAATACTAAGATCAAACTATCAATCTACAGGCTATCGTCAAACATGTTGCAAGGCGTCATCTTCAGTGACATAATAGATAAGAGTTTATTAACTATCATGCCAGTCTTTAGAGACGGTAACCACATTAAACTAAAGTTTTCCCAATCAAAATAAAGGGTTTATACAAAATAAAAGGTTTATGCACTAGACTGCGAGACAATTAACCTTATGCAATGCAGGTTAGTATAACTATAATATCGGACTGAGTTGAAATTTCTGAGAGCATGATACCCCAAAATAAATATATGCCTGTGTCTGGCAATAGCGTTCAGATGGCTTCCGAACTTGTGCGGATAAGATAATATAAAAAATACAAATAAACTATAATAACAATCTGAAAATTAATGTATCAGTACAGATCTTATACTCGAAATCAGGCACTTTCAAAACATTTCTCTTAAATTATCTTTCTTAACACCGTTCAATTGTAACTTTAAATTAAAATATTATGATGATCCGGACGATGATAAATATTAAATTACAACTGATTATATTTATGGATTTCGGCCTGTCGATGCTGGAAGCTGATCAGCTAATCGTTAATCGTTACCATGTGACAAGAATAGTATGATGAACCTCCCAATCAGTATCTATGTATCAAAAGAAAATATTGATCTAATTCAACTCGTCGGGAGCCCTTTTGAAACATCTCGAAGTTAGAGTGCAGAGTGCATGATTACTGATTATCAGCACGATTGGGTGAAACAAAGACGAAACCGTGTGTTGATTAGAATTAAAAGAGGAAGATATTTAGTGATAAATTGTGCACTCTTGCATTTAAGTTTTAATTGTTAGACTTGTTCGATGTAGGGCCTTTAATTTAACCTAATACTAATGCAGTTACTTAATACTTGGTAAGTCTAGGGAAAACAGGTGCTGAGGTGCTAGTTGTCGGAAATGAAATGGAGTCTGTTCCTGATCGAAGTTACATGATGCTGATAGATTTGATGCAGCTCAGCACTCAGCAGCCACTGTCTTCAAATAGAGTGTTCCAGTTCTGCAATCTGCAGTCTCAAATGTTTTCGCCCAGCTTTTCTTTTCATCGTGGTTATAGAAGACAGACCTGAAGAAATACTAGTATAATGATAATATAGGTAACATGTCCAGAATGAGTAAAATTGTATTATCGGCAAATTTACTTATGTGAAAACTCCCAACAGGGTGGCGCTGGCCCAGAAGTAACTGCACACAAGCAACCCTTTAATGATCACGCACGTAATTTGTGTGAAAATATGTAACTCATTTAACGAAGTCAGTGAAAAGAACCTACCTTTATTTACCAATGTCGATTTTTTGCTTGTGATGAAGTAGTCCTCGCAAATGTGAGATATGTATGTAGTTTGTTTTTAAAAGTAAGATTGTAGTCATAGTCGATGTATAGCGACGGTAGTTTACCAGCAGCTCCCTGTACAAATAGAAATGTGGTTTTTATATAATATTACTAGTTAAATTAATGAGTACAATGCAGGAATAAAAAAATGTGTCTTAAATGTTTTATATTAAATGTGTTATAATTATATTAACCACCTTATATTCGTATAATATGTACTCACAAACAATGATAGTCCCAACTGTTTTTAATTGCTTATAATTTAAACCTTCTTATTAAATAATTTAGATGACTGTGTCTGATCTAAAATTGCACGAGAAATAGAGAAAATTAGGTCTCAGACAGAACTCGACCGGGATATAACCGGCGCAGCCGGAATACCGGCTGGTATTTGGCGATTTTGTACCGGTACCGGCCGGGATTTTGGTTTTAGCCGGGATTTTTCCAAAATAAATTCAGTTTTTCTCAACGTTAATTTGAGTCCAAAATTAACAAATCTGTGAACATTTTCCTAAAACATTTTGACGAAGTCATTGAACAATGGAGACTGGAGTCAATCTATATTTAACATAATCATGGGTGTACGAATTATGGACTTCTTTCTGACTTATGACTTAATTATTGTGACTAAGTGTCACGGCTCACGGTCTTGTGTTACCGAGGGACAAGTAAAACAGAGTTCTCCGGGTAAAGAAAGCATTAATAAATGCTATTCAGTATTCATCCTATTCAATTATTCAGGTAAGGTGATGTAAACTGTAAAGTGATAAGCTCCAACGTCAAACACCATGTTCAATTAAATAAGTTTAAGTAACCAATACCAGATCACAGGATTGTTATAGTTACGGAGACTGTTGGAAACGATGCAAACCAGGATCGGACTCCTATCAGAAATAGTCGACCACCGGTCCAGCCTCCCTCAAACTCAAATGCCCTACCACTACCCCAGACCACATCCACCTCTTCAGCCAGGAACAGCGCTCCCACTATACCACTACCAGCAGTTCCTACCGCCTCAGAGGATACACTGCACGTGCCCGTTATTCCTCATGCCTCGTCTTAAATGTCCAGTCCATGAATCCTAGTGCATCAAGTGCGAGTATATGGGAAGTGCCAAAAATCTCAGCTCTTATTCAGGAGAAATCCAAAAACCACTCGTTACCGTTTATTGCACTTACGGAAACGTGGCTCAAGTCCTACATGTCAGACAAATACAAAATGTGCATCACCTCTTTCTCCTGCTGAGCAGAACCTCCCCCTTAAAAGTAAACAAATCTGCATCGCCTCCCAACGACAATCCAGATATATTAAGCAGCAGAGACAATCATTTAAGGAGACTTCGATATCTATCAGGATCATGATTATACTGCCTGAGAACTCAGCACTTCAGGATGAAACATATAATATTTGGTTTTCTCGATTTCATTCATATTTAGACAGAAGTCCGTGTAGATAATTGGTTATAGAATAATTGGATATAATTTTATGCGAAGTTGTGTCTGCGAAAATATACGTGTGAACTGGTCATCCCGCAAATGCTGAAAAAGTAGATGTTACCTATCATAAAATAACCGCTCGCACCGTACAGTGTACACGACAGAGTTGTGACTGCGTTTACAAATTCTTTATCATATTGATGTGTTGCCATGGCAACCGAAACTCCATCGGAAGATCGGCCTGTAAGGCATAATCATGATAATACACAGTATCAAAACATTGCCATTGATATCATAGCAACATTCCAGAGATTAGATTATGTGTGTGTAAGAAAATGTATGTTATAGTATTATACAGTCTGCTAGAACATTCCGTTTACACATGGTGGCCGATAACAACTTGTTTAATTTATCTCCGAATTACACTCAAATTTCTGAAAGTTTCGTAGACTTAAATCAATTACAGAGGGTGTGGCTATTGGCCAGCCCCTCTATTTCACTATTATGGTTGAAACTATAAGAATACAGATTATATTGTTACAGTGATTTTACAAAAGTCGAAACAGTAAACACCAATTTGTAGGATACTTTAAATCACACCAAAATTGGTCCCAGAATGCAATGAAATCTGATGGCGTCTTTTCAGTGAAAAAGAGGCCACACCCTCTGTAATTGATTAAAGTTTACGAGACCTTTAGAAAATGAGTTATATAACTTGGAACTTAAACTAAGATAAATTGAGTATTTATACTCAATTTATCTTAGTTGCATGAGTAATATATATATACTACCCACTATACCACTACCAGCAGTTCCTACCGCCTCAGAGGATACTCTGCACGTGCCCGTTATTCCTCATGCCTCGTCTTAAATGTCCAGTCCATGAATCCTGTGCATCAAGTGCGAGTATATGGGAAGTGCCAAAAATCTCAGCTCTTATTCAGGAGAAATCCAAAAACCACTCGTTACCGTTTATTGCACTTACGGAAACGTGGCTCAAGTCCTACATGTCAGACAAATACAAAATGTGCATCACCTCTTTCTCCTGCTGAGCAGAACCTCCCCCTTAAAAGTAAACAAATCTGCATCGCCTCCCAACGACAATCCAGATATATTAAGCAGCAGAGACAATCATTTAAGGAGACTTCGATATCTATCAGGATCATGATTTTACTGCCTGAGAACTCAGCACTTCAGGATGAAACATATAATATTTGGTTTTCTCGATTTCATTCATATTTAGACAGAAGTCCGTGTAGATAATTGGTTATAGAATAATTGGATATAATTTTATGCGAAGTTGTGTCTGCGAAAATATACGTGTGAACTGGTCATCCCGCAAATGCTGAAAAAGTAGATGTTACCTATCATAAAATAACCGCTCGCACCGTACAGTGTACACGACAGAGTTGTGACTGCGTTTACAAATTCTTTATCATATTGATGTGTTGCCATGGCAACCGAAACTCCATCGGAAGATCGGCCTGTAAGGCATAATCATGATAATACACAGTATCAAAACATTGCCATTGATATCATAGCAACATTCCAGAGATTAGATTATGTGTGTGTAAGAAAATGTATGTTATAGTATTATACAGTCTGCTAGAACATTCCGTTTACACATGGTGGCCGATAACAACTTGTTTAATTTATCTCCGAATTACACACAAATTTCTGAAAGTTTCGTAGACTTAAATCAATTACAGAGGGTGTGGCTATTGGCCAGCCCCTCTATTTCACTATTATGGTTGAAACTATAAGAATACAGATTATATTGTTACAGTGATTTTACAAAAGTCGAAACAGTAAACACCAATTTGTAGGATACTTTAAATCACACCAAAATTGGTCCCAGAATGCAATGAAATCTGATGGCGTCTTTTCAGTGAAAAAGAGGCCACACCCTCTGTAATTGATTAAAGTTTACGAGACCTTTAGAAAATGAGTTATATAACTTGGAACTTAAACTAAGATAAATTGAGTATTTATACTCAATTTATCTTAGTTGCATGAGTAATATATATATACTCTCATTTTTTTAGAGCAAACGTAATTTAAATGGCTAAACACAATTCAATAAAATTTGGCTCGATCCGATTATCCAAACTATCAAATAAATGCGAAAATGAACCTTCTTTTTGCTTTTGAAAACAATGAACACAAATATGTTTCGATTTGACAAATTTCTCGAACCAGTGGTGGTAGTAAGTCATACCAGAACCAATTATTTCAATTGGGCACTCAGTGACTGAGCTATTAATGCCAACGTTTGCACACTGACTTTTGGCCCACCCTGTATATTTATAATATACGGCTGGAAAAAATGTAACTGGATATCTGCCACAATGCTGCTATTATTAAGGTTAAAGTAACATTTAGCACATAAAGAAGTCTGGTTTGCTAGGTTTTAATTGGTCGTATAATAACAAATAAAAATGAGTTAAGACTACAAAAACGGTCGATAGAACCTAATTATAATACCTGTATCGAGAACTCGACTTCAATGCACTGATAGCGTTGGTACTAACATTCTATCAAATTATGTCATATCTTGAGACTTGATAGCTGCCTGAAACAGTTTTGAGTCAACATTATCGTGATATTCTAGAAATTGAAACCAATTCTCAACTTTAAAAAAGCAGGTTTCAATAAATGCCATAGAATTAAATTCTACCTTTTTAAATTTTAAGAATTTGTTGATTTATTAAAATTCTGTCTCAATTAATATATAAGGGTACATGCAATGTATTTCGACACGCACTGTAGACTCACTTATTGGATTCGTGCTAGATGCTGTGTACGTCACCCTCTTAACCACCTCTATGGCGAAGATGAGGATGGTAAGTGCAAGTACAGTAATGTGAGGAGAGGATGGGTATCATTTAGCACATTTTTGCTGTAGGTGTAAAGTAGCTCTTAGTCAAGGAGTATATAAATGACGGCACGACAAGGTTCTGCAACAGATCTCTGAACATGTTATCTTGTGAGCGCCGAGTGAACACTTATAAGAACAAGGCCAGCGATGTAAGACAGTATCATTGACTTAGTCCATGCTGGGAGGAAAAAAGCAAGTACAGACGACCGAAAGGAGTCGTGGTTTGGGATCCTGAGTGGGTCTCGATATTGGATAGTGCTTTTATATATCGGACCTTATGATATTCTCAAGGTCACCAAGACGGCACAGTCTTATGGCGGGAGGTAACGGTACCATCTAAAGAGCAGATTGCTGAATCATACAAGTAAAAACTCTACCGGTACAGCAGTCTTACAGCAGACTGAGATTCAAGCGAAAGAATTGTGCTGTTATAATTATGCGGTTAAAGTTCTAGCACCGGGAGTAGTTGTTCACGGTTTGGAGAGAGCTGAGTAGGCTAGTACGGGATAGAAGGGAAGAAGCAGCTCACTGTTCCAGATGGATCTACTTCTTATCAAGGAAGAAGGAGTGGTAGGTATAGTAAGGAAGATTGGAGCCTAAGAGTTAACTTAACATCTAGAGGTACCACAAACTTTATCTCGTCGCCAATTGCGAGCTTTAACGGGTTTCCTCAAGTGACTCGATGGTTTAATTGTGACAAATCATGATACGAACTTTGATGAACCCATAATAGTATAGTGCAATAATACTATGATAGTATTCTCATAAGTTCTACCCTTGCAACCGAGTACAATGTACATACTAAGTGATATCAAGCTGCAATCTAAAATTTATTAATTGAATCTCAAAATAACTTCAAATTTTACCTAATAATTGCGACATCGTTGGAAGTGAGAAATAAAATACATTAAATTTTAATCCAATTCTGCGAGAGAAGATTTGCCCAGACAGCTGACAAGAATGTATTACCATACTTCCTGTAAATGTGGTAGTTATTAGGTCATATCAAACTTGAAAATTATGTCAAAGTTTTTCTCAGTCTCTGGTGTCAATCACCAGTAGAGTGCCCAGCCGCACCAAAACAACCTGCGATTTTTACGTGGGAAACATCGTATAATACACATGCTATACACTCTAGTTTTATAGCAGCTACTGATATCATGCGGCAGTATTAATAAGCATACAAATTCAGCGCAAAAAATTGTAAAGACGACACAAATTCATGCGGGATGTTAATAAATGTGTCCATGTTGAACTCAAACTCCGACAGAATAATATTTCAAATCGGATATATTATAATTAATCAAATGGTATCTGCTCATGTTCCGTCTATATAAACTACAAAACTAAAAAATTAGTGAAGTTCTGAAACAAAGATCACGACTAGGTTTTATCAAAATTGAAAAGAAAACCGATCGAAGTGCACTAGAGATATAGTTTAAGTTTAAAGGGTCATCATTACTAAAATCTCTTCCTAGCTCCTAGCAATCAAGTTGTTAATCCTAGTTCTACACCTAAACAAGTACAAAATTACAGCCTTACATTTTGAAATTTTTCGATATCCAGCTCAACATAAGACTTGCATAATGGGTACATACCGATGATCGGTGTTCGTAAATATTTGATTATTTATAGTATTGAAGTTTAAAATCTTCCTAATTATGTAAGAATAACAAAAGGAATCACGTACTAGTGTGCTGTTACGAAAAACAACTATTTAATAAAAATAAATTAACAGTATTCGAGTACAAAATTAAAAATACAAACTCCAACATAATCGACAGACAAACTCAATAAATGAAGATTTCGTCGTGAAACGAGCTATATATACAGCTATAACGTAGCGCTCGACTCCAGTCTGAACCAAAATTAAGTCGCGTTCGTAGGAAATTGACCACCAGCTGCTGGTGGTTCGAATGTTGGTTTGCACACTACTGTGGTTGCGAGAAGCATTATTTGATGCGCGCGCGACCCAGTAGTGCATCGCGCTACAACCTACCTCCCTGCACCTCCCCCCCTTTCCCCCTTCATTCTGCTTTCTTCTGCAGCTGAACTATGAACTCTCAGCTCTTTCGCCGTACAGGCTGCAGGCTGAGCGCCGCCCAGTAATGCTTGCATCAACCCAAGAAACCTTACTGGATGGGGCCTATTATTGATTATTACTTTCAAAGTAAAAGAGTTAGAGACTTCCGGTTTTTTGCAAAATGTTCGTTTTATAAAAATAACGTTTCCCCCCAGGGGAATTTTGTATAAACGTAGTTGTTGAGTTATCTCAAAATATCCAGAAAAGTCTCATTTTGCAGGCCGATTAGAAGTTTGTTGGAGGACTTCGCCGTGCCGCGCGAACCAGCATTCTTGCTTCGATCGTTGCTCTGCTTTGCAAAGCAACGATCTCGATGGGTTGACATCGTCAATTAAAGAAGTTTGCAACTTTAACTTTGCGGATTCTTGTCCTCTGATTGGCTGAATTGTGTTACGTGCTGGCTGCTTGAAAGTTGGAATGTGGCACGCGTGCAAATCACTTAATTGTTAATGTCACGCGCGCGAGGACAAGCCTACGGTGTACGAGAAGGGGCCTTACGAAGAAAATATATGCTTAAAACATATATTTTTCGTAAGGCCCCTTCTCGAACATGGCGTGTGTACGAGAAGGTGCCTTGCGCGCACGCATGTGCGTGCTTGTCACGTTTAATTAAGTTTTCGCGCGTTACTAATTAGTGGATAAGCGCATGTTGCAGACGTATTTAAAAAATGGAACAAGATAGACCGACACGAGAGCATGAATTTGGGTGCCCTCTGGGGATGTATTTTAGTAAAATCAACTCGACACTGTTCATGCAATGAAACTTCACCTAACCATCCTGACTGATTACTGAAACACTGACAGAATCTGATGACGCGTCATGATGACAAGAACAAAGAAAATGAATTTTTATTCTGCATATGATAGCATCAAATAAAAAGGCAAATGCAATGATGTCCGAGTTACCTTGCCATCTTTCAAAACGATTGGATCCGGTCGAGAGCATTTGCGGTGAACAAATTTTGCCCATCATAACACTATCAAGAGTCATCAGATCATCCCAAAAATCATTTGATGTGGTCTGATATCATCATATGTAACACCCTTAATCGATATTTCTGCGTCATGGTCATGAGAAAGTTTCAAAAACCAGGTTTTAGTGGTTGCCCAATGCCCTATTTGGGCCCTTATCTATGTTCTCGTGTCGGTCTCGGTCGCGCTAAATCACTTTACAGTCGATTCTCTAGTCGTTTCAGAACCTATAGAAATAGTGCTCAGAGCTGGTTTTGTAGTTGGAAAGTGTTTTTAATGTAGAGTGGGAGTTCTGAGGATTTATAATTCGCATCATTTAGTCGTTTCAGAACCTAGAAATAGTGCTCAGAGCTGGTTTTGTGGTTAGGTTTTGTAGTAGCCATGATGTTGATAGTTGCCAAATTTCGGTAACGAATTAGGACTTAATTTGAGTTTACTGCACGCGCGATGAATAATTTGTGTTTATAGATGATAGAGATCTGCGGCGCGTTATCAGGTTAACCAATGAAATCACGGCAATTTCGTCACGTGACAGTCGAGTGTAGAGTGATTAATTATCATCCGTGGAATCGAGTTGAATTTGAATTGCAAAATAGCCGAATTGATCTTTGCCTTTAGTGGCCTGGTATGAGTCTCATGTAACCTGGTATGAGCTTTAGTAGCTTGGTATGAGCAATTTGAGTAGCCTGGTATGCGAAAATAGACATGTTCTAGTATGGAGTGTCCAAGTAAGCTACTGCTACCACATACGTAATTCGATGATCAAAATTCGTGGCATAAAATGGCATAAATGGAGAATTACTCAAGGGTTTTTCAATTTTCCCCATAGAAAAAGTCTCCATTTTACGCCATTTTATGTCATTTCATGCCATTTGGTACCAGCCACCAACAATTGTTCCCGGAAGTGATCTTGCCAAGGTACAGAGGGCTGTGTGCATGTTGTCCAACACCACCGCCATCGCTGAGGCTTGAGCTCGTCTTGACCACAAGTTCGATCTTATGTATGCCAAGAGAGCCTTCGTCCATTGGTACGTAGGAGAAGGTATGGAAGAGCGGGAGTTCTCTGAGGTTAGGGAGGATCTGGTTACCTGGGGACCTCAGGCTATTATATTTATGTTCATAATCATACTCATAGAGATTCGGCGGAATGACAGGCTGAGCGCGGCCCAGTAAGGATCTGGCTGCTCTGGAGAAAGACTACGAAGAGGTTGGAGTCGGCTCTGTTGACGGTGAAGGTGAAGAAGAAGGTGGAGAGTACTAAAAACCCTGAAGAACTTTTGAACCACTGTTTCTAAAAAGAAATCTGTAAAAATTTCTGTAAAATTGTTATGAATTGATACTAATACTAATATGGTTGATTCAAATCAATTAATATCATTCTTAATCAATAATCATGATACCAGTGTTTTACTTTGCTTCAAATCAATTAATCATCATTCGATATTTTTTCCTCGAGTTGGAAACTTTAATCTTTTGTGTCGGTTAATTTAGTGACGGTTCAGATTGGTCCATGGCTCAGTGGTTGATGATTTGTTGTAGGTTTATAACCTACCAGGACGCGCGCCGAGTTGGACTCGTCGACGGTCCCTATTATTTGAAACAAATATTTTACGAGCATCACCCGTTAAATGATTTGGTGTAACTGTAAGCTACAGTCAGATTTGTAGTTATTCACGTATGATATTTAAAGTTACGGGTATTAAACGTAATTGGATTATCAATAATAATGAGCCTATACTAGAATTTTTTAATGATTATCTAGAGTCTGATAGGGCTCGTAATATTCAGACTTATGATTTTTCTACTCTCTACACTAATCTTAAACATGATGAAATTAAGACTGCTCTTAAAGATGTTGTTAAATTAGCGTATAAACATAGCAAATGTAACTATATTTCTATATATAACAGTGGCTTTGCGTGGGTTAAGAATCCTCGTGAAAGTACCTTTCGATTTAATGTTGATTCATTGATTGAAAGTATTGATTTTATTTTAGATAATGCTTACTTTAGTATGGGGAATAAGATATTCAAACAGATCATTGGAGTACCTATCGGGGTGAACCCTGGGCCCTTCATTGCTAACTTAACACTATTTTATTATGAGTATAAATATTTAGATAAGCTGTATAAGACGGATTATTTTAGAGCTAAGCGACTTAATAATACGTTTAGATTAATAGATGATATCACTACTGTTAATTCTGACGGCGTTTTCCAGGAACACGTTAATACGATTTATCCTGATAGTTTGAAATTAAATAAGGAAAATGAGGTTGATACCAAGGCTCATGTTTTAGATTTGGATATATCAGCAAAATGAAAACATCGAAGACGAATGGCCTAATTTTATGTTATTTTGTATAACAGGACTAAGAAAATCAAAGCGTAACATAAACCAAAATGCCGATAATAACCTTGTCTCTACATCTTATTATATGCACACACTTATGCATCACTCAATAAACGTCGCATATCTCATAAATTACACTGCCAACATTGGACATTTTTTATTATCGCCGCGTATTTCAAATCAAGTTACAAATTCTACAAATTTTGAAGTGCTCAGTCTTGTTTTACTTTTTTAATCTTTACCTATTAACCATTGGAAAATAAAACTTTAAGTTATAAACCTTCCTTGCATACTTTACCGGTAGAGTCTAAATTGAATAGTTTGTGCCCCACGGGGATGAATTTCTTATTACCATTGATATTATATATACTTTTCTGAGTAAACATTGGCTGGTACCACGGGCCAGTCCCCAACAAAAAAAATCTATAGAAGAGGGGCACTTTATAGTTAGAGTTTATGATAAACGGGACGATTTTCCGTTCAAAATCGTTCAGTATTCTCCTAATTGTAGTAACATGTCTAGAGATGTACTCATTGGAGTATTTGGTTCTCAACTCGTTCTTTCGTTAATTTAGGATTTAAAAAGAAATTATTAAGTAGTAAATACCGACATACCTTATCGGACCTTATTTGGACGGACATTACTTGAACGGACATAATTATGGACGGACATTAATATGAACGCTAGAAGGCAATCAAAACCATCAAAAATCCGAATTTTTTTCATCTTTTTTTGAAGTTTTTTTAATTTTAGCAAATGATTTTTAAATCCATTTTTCATACAGTAAGCTTATCTGCGCTGTGCAGATAAGGTACGAAGGTACCTAGAGGACTAGATTAGATACCGTCGGTCACATACCTTATAGGGAGATATCCCGGTTTGTCTTCTACTTTATCGAGATGGGTGGTATGGTAGAAGGTATCGTAGCTGACATAAGCCACCGAAGGTCGCCTATATACCAAGTGGGGGGGGGGGGGGCTAGAGATAAAGCTTAAGCTGTACTTTAGGCATTCAAGTATCTCTCTAGTAGAGCAGTTGGGATCGTTCATTGCCCGGTACGACTACGAGTTGGACAGACAACCAGTTGTAAAAGAAAATGTGGAGGTAGAAGAAGTAGGCAATCAAAACCAACAAAAATCCGAATTTTTTTCATCTTTTTTTGAAGTTTTTTTAATTTTAGCAAATGATTTTTAAATCCATTTTTCATACAGTAAGCTTATCTGCGCTGTGCAGATAAGGTACGAAGGTACCTAGAGGACTAGATTAGATACCGTCGGTCACATACCTTATAGGGAGATATCCCGGTTTGTCTTCTACTTTATCGAGATGGGTGGTATGGTAGAAGGTATCGTAGCTGACATAAGCCACCGAAGGTCGCCTATATACCAAGTGGGGGGGGGGGGGGGCTAGAGATAAAGCTTAAGCTGTACTTTAGGCATTCAAGTATCTCTCTAGTAGAGCAGTTGGGATCGTTCATTGCCCGGTACGACTACGAGTTGGACAGACAACCAGTTGTAAAAGAAAATGTGGAGGTAGAAGAAGACGATTAGATTACTGCTGGTACCTTCGTTTTGGCAAGTCCGGTGTAACGTTACACTGGTGTGGTATTACATCATGCTAGATGCTGGGGTGAAGAGCTTTATTGTTATTCTTATTTGGCCTGTTTCACTCTGTTATGTTTATGCCCTACATTTTGTACCTTGTATTAGTAGTGGGCATTGGTTTGGTTGTACGCTATTTCAGTTGTTTTAGTTTCTATAAAGTTATAGCTAACGTCTCATATTTTTACTTTTTACTTAACTTTAAATTATTTTTATTAGGAAAAAGCTTGAGGAAAGATGACAGTTGCATGCATAAAACTAGTTTAAGTCACCAATGCACAATCTGAAGTTTGTGCACCTCAACTAAGCCTTTCACTTGTTATAACTGTGATGGAGACACATCTCATAACAATGCATAACAATTTAACTTGGTCCAAATAAAAAAAAGCTTCGTTCACGTTCCTAGTCCTGACACAAAAGTCATGGATCGGGGAAAAAATGTATATTACAATAAATGTAAAAAGTATTCTGAAAAAACATACAATGAATATCAATAATTACTGAATCACAGTCTCTTTCTTTTATTTTTTATTAAAACATTGAAAGTTGTCTAGAACATTGAAATTTTAAATATCAAAAGTTTAATTATAGATTGTAAATTTATAGATTCGTCCGGGTTTTTGAGTTGTTATTTTTTCTATCACATCCCGATAAAACACCATGTTAAGATAGTGTTTTGTACCGTAGAACCATTCCAGTCCACAACAAGTTTAGATGCTCATATTAACAGCAAACAGGAGAACGACGAGGAAAATTAGGCTGACTTTCAGGGCTGCTGCATCAGAGTAGTTCTGGTTGTCTCCCTGTTCACTTTCATCATCTTCTTCACTTGTATCTTCTTCTGAAGGGGAAATTTAATTTAGTAAAAGATACCTTCATTCTGGAAAGATATCGGCATGATCTATTTATATGGCTTTGACTAATTATTGCAAGACCACGAACAGACACAAATCTTATATTTATTTTTAGGAACTATAAACAAGTAATTACAACTATTCGATTATCCTAGTTCGCTTGACTCCCGTACGTTAGACAGTTCATTTTTCTTTCAATGTTAAAAAATTTAATTAAATGGGTAAGATAAAATCGAATGCAACCGACAAAATACTGGCACTGAAAAATTATTCATCATCCTGATGGACGATTCTTCTATTCAAAGGTGGAGCCTGATATAATAAAGTTTTTAGGACACACGTAGAAAATAGGTATCATTATTCTGAGTCACTCAGAATCTGAGTGTGCGACAAAGTTTACCAAATCTCGCCTTATATTATAACCGTCGAATCCCTGCTCTTTAACCAATGATGTTTTATGATTGTTAGATTGATCTAATTAGTAATCTACTACATTTCAGAATAAGGAATACTATACTGTTAACTATAGGCAGCTATAGTTAACAGATTCACAAAAATGTAAACTTGTAGTTGTAACATTATAGCGCATAACAACAATAAAGTTTCTGTGTTGAGAACTTCTGAACATGCTTGGTTGATATTTTTGTATGTGTACAAATAATCTCCACTTCCAATGAACATGTCCATTAATATAAATAGAAAGTCCTGGCTACCCGACAGTTTTGCACGAAACTACCGACAATCCCCCCTCCATCCGTCGATGAACATCATAACTTATTTGGTATAATATCTACTCGACTGAAAAATTGTCTTTGGCGAGTATGATCCGTGTTTCCAGTGTCAGATGTAGCGATGTCATTATGTCATAGTATTATGTTGCAAACAGTAAATTAAATAATTAATAATAACAAAGAAACATGTTCTAGTATTGTACAGGAACTGAATGATTGAACTTTCTAAACTAAATTCACTGGATCCTATAATAAGTTTAATTTTGTTTTAACAGAAGGATGTAGCAAGTTATCTTAGATATAAAGTTAAAACAGCAGAGCATCATTTATGGGCAGTTATAGATACCCACCAAGTCCTAAGAAACCGCATCAGAACATCTAGATTAATCCATGATAACTGTCGTAGTAATTTAAGCAGTGTGTTTTACCCATTATAATTTTTGTTATTTTATTAACAGACCCGATCTCGTTAAAACAAATGAAAACTGATCGAATTACCTGGACAGCTTTGAGTGTTGCAACTCTGAGATTCTGAAGATTCTCCTGAACAACTAGCACCTCCGTGTGCAGGAGAAGGATTTGTACAAGTCCTGCTTCTTGTTTGTGTTCCTCCCTCGCAAGTCTTTGAGCAGGTAGACCATGAGCCGTCTGAACTCCAACCTCCGTTAATTGCTTCTAGTTCAAGAGAAATGTAATAACAAAATTATCCACAATCTCAATTATAACTTGGTATAAGGCACGTATTTTATTATTTATGCACTGTTTCTACGTTTAATCCCGGGTTACCACATATTTCGATTTGCGTGATTGATCATCATGATGCATCAAAACATCTAGATTAATCCATGATAACTGTCGTAGTAATATGAGCAGTGTGTTTTACTCATTATCATTTCTTTATTTATTGTTCTGAGATGAAATTGGACATTTGATTTTTACGATTCTATATAGTATAACAGATCAAGTCTGTTACGATCCTATTTACGACTAGCCAGGTGTGGCTAGGGTGGAGGCGATATAAATATCCTGGTCCACGAGATAATAATAGAACTATTTCACGGCCTACAAGCTACGGCACAGGTCACGTGGTGTGCTTTCATCATGACAAAAGGAGAGAAGGAACTCATAAAGCGGAAAATAGAGTGTACTGTGTAGAGACGATAAATATATAGGCCTTATCAGGAACATGGATGCTGAAAGTCCTTCTGGTAACAACTGTCGAGAAATAACCAGAGCAATCACAGGAATTACTATCTCATGTTCGAGAAAAGGAATATCAACCAGATGAAGGAGACAATTCACCGAGCTGAGGCAGAAAGGAACACATGATATCGATTGTCGAGGGAGGAGCTGATTGGAGAGAGAACAGGAGTGATAACTATGGGCCTAACCGAAAGACATGGATGATTTAAGACCTTCAGTCACCAGGGTTAACGCTAAAAATACGCCTTATCAACAAACTATGAAGCACAATGCACATGCTTTTATACTGTGTAAACTCTGCAAAATAAATCAGTAATTGATAAAATTATGACCACTTTATTAGGTTATAAATAACAATATGCCAACTAGCCTATATCCCATATCCTATATATGTTTTATGTTATGTTAAATAGCACACTTGAAATTTAGACAGAAAACACGTAATCAAGAGCTTACGAGAGAATATCAGCAAGTTGGCTTATTTATGAATTAAAGTTAGTGTTGCTTTGTTAAACCAATGCTTGTTGTTATTAGTCACCTGGTTGTGGTCCGTAGTAATCAGATGCTGTGTCATAGGAGGTGAACTCTATCTTTGCTACGTCTCTGTTCCAGTACGTGCTCCAGTAATTGGCGTTACCACACGTTGAATCAGAGAGCAGTATGTTGAGCACCTCTACCTCGTTACAGTGTATCACTACTCTGACATCTGCAGTTTTGGTTAGAGTGATACGCCACACCTTGTCAGCAGCTGCAGAGTGGGGATTAACAGAGAAGTAAGCGTAGGATGAGCTGCAGTAGTTGAGTAAGTATCGTGCAGCGTTGAAGTAGATCATGACTCCTCCTGCTCCCTCTCCCCCAGCAGAGTAGAAGTTAACCATCACGATATCTTGACTCCCACGCTCACTATCAGTCCTAATTTCTAAAGGTGTCGACTCAAGATCCCACTCTATTTCCACGTCACGTACGACTGGTAACTCACCTGTTAATTGTATGTTTAACTCATGACTATAAAGGAATTGTAAGAATGTCGCCCATAGTTTTTTCTCAGAATTTAAGGGCCCGACCATACTATGACTGTTTTCACCATGACTGTTGTCATGGTGCGGTCAGATGTAATGACCATAGGTACGTAGTGTGTTTATAGGGCGTGCCAAGGATACGTGACAACTCCTCAGGCACGTCACGCGTGGCTTTTCAAAAGCCGTGCCTAGCCAAAAATCCGTGCCTGACGTGACTGCAGGCACAGTCTATTCAGTACTCTTGCCAACTGTCATGGATAACGTGACGTCACGATTACCTAATAAGGTCTATATTTTGCGTGATATGGACATTGGCAGCGCAGAGTGCAAAGATAGTACTATAGTACAGCTACAGATCGTCTGAAAAATCGATCTACGGACACAAAAAGCTTCCAAAGGATTTATGACGTTATTAGGCTGACTAACTGTTCCAAAATTTTCCACATGTCTTAAAGCCACTTTTGCTACTTTTGCCACTTTTTACCACCTTTCTTGTTTGTCAAATATCTTCAGCTATGAACATCGTAGAAGGTTACAAATTAATCGAGGGTGTTTATCTTATCGACGAGAAGAACTTTTGTCCGAAAAATGTTCACGTCAGACAATCAGATAATTTGATAATTACTAATTAGCTAATTATCTAATTACCAAAAATTATATAAATGTTTACGTATTGGCTCGAGAATTTTTTGAGACTTGACAAAATTTTGAAAATTTGAAAATATAATTTTTTTATAAGTTTTTTTGAAGCTCAGACCATGGTTTGGTTGCCGAACCGCATCATACCGAATTGGTCCCCATTGGGAATCAAACCCCAGTCGTCCGCGTGAGAAGCAAATGTATTAAAACCACTAAACCACCCGGCCGACGTGACAGCACTCACTTTTAAGCTTTTTACTATTTTATCCCAATTGTCAAAGTATGTTTACTTGATAAACAGGAATTAACCATTAAACAGGAATTAAACAGGAATTAAACATGAAATGACCAAAGAGAACACTAACGAACTCGTCTTGAATATCTCAATCATTAGAGTATAATTTGACTTGATCCAATTATTTCGAATAAGTAATAACTAAAATATGCGATATTGAACGTTGATTCGAAAAAAATTGAAATAATTTAATTAAATTTGATGTACACGCCGATAAAGTTATGACAGTAAGTCGTTTTCATAAAAAGTGGGGAAATTTGGTTTTCATGAATACCAACTAGTAATTACTAATTTTGATACATCTCCAGTTGTGAGTATGGTAGGAGGTTTCATTTTTATTATAATCGAAAAATTGGTTGCTACTTGGATAATAAGCAAATTAATCAATTAGCTTATTATTCAATCAGTACAGTGGTTGTACTTTTATAGCAATTGCTTAGTAATCGATTAGTAAGTCATATCAGAAAAAGTATTTAAATAATAAATCAATTGTTAACTGAAACGTTTGGGTGGTAACGTTTAGCCTCCCGTGTCCATAATTATAATATGACTAGTAAAGATTTTACCATATAAAATGTTACCTTTGACTGATGACCACAGTAGGATCGTCAAAATGATGATCGTTATCGTCATGACGTTTTACCACTCACTTACAACTTGATAAAAATGAAACAACTAATATTAGGAGGTGCACCATAAAAATAAACATGCTCGGATTTTAAAAATTTTTGTACCATTGTTTTCTAGAGACTGTGAGAATTTTCACAATACCAAATTTGTTATACCTTTTTGGAAAGATCAGTGAGTTTCGCCTAGGTGCCATATTTGATGGTGCGCGGCTTTTGGAGCAAAATTAGCTGTAAAAGTCGCGTAATTTGACCAAATTTGACCAAATTCGTTGATTTTTGTCGTATTATTTGGATATATCTTCAGTTCCTTGAATGAGATCATTCTGAAAATTGGCGACGACCTTCCAATAGGGCTTTCACAACTGTCCAAAAAATTTGGTGGATATCGGAGTTGATATAGTGATCAAAATGGGGCAAAATACACTGCTTTTAGCTGTAACATAATGTTTGATGGTTGGATATGCTTTAAACTTTTCGGACACTTTTCTTGTAAGTCTATGAGTAAGCATACCAATTTTTGTTGCAATCGGAGGTCGGGAAGGATACTTAATATCTATTTGTTTGAAGAAAATTGTGCTGGCCGAAATTAGCGCTAAAAAACCATCCTACAGTCGGCACGCGCGGCTCACTGTCGATGGCACACTACCTACTAATATTTTATCATTATTTATCATTTATAATGTACTTATTATTTTATACACTAGTATAAGAATAATAAAAAGTTATATCAGGGAAATCTTAACATATTTCTGGAAATTTTAGTATATTTTAAGTCGATTCTCCCGTTCAATTTCGGGTCTAAGATCGTCAAACTAGTGCAGAATCAAGCAAGTTAAGTAATTTTTTTATGTATTAAATTGAATGTGCTTTTTATAAAAAGTAAATATACTTAAAATGTGTGCCTATTTTGATATTTCATCCCTAGCTTAGCAGACGTAAATAAAACAACGTAAATAAAACAACGTAAATAAAACAACGTAAATAAAACAACGTAAATAAAACAACGTAAATAAAACAACGTAAATAAAACAACGTAAATAAAACAACGTAAATAAAACAACATAAATAAAACAGCCTAAATAAAACAATGTAAATAAAACAACATAAATAAAACAACGTATATAAAATAACGTAAATAAAACAACGTAAATAAAACAACGTAAATAAAACAACATAAATAAAACAACGTAAATAAAACAACGTAAATAAAACAACATAAATAAAACAACGTAAATAAAACAACGTAAATAAAACAACGTAAATAAATCAACATAAATAAAACAACGTAAATAAAAAAACGTAAATAAAACAACGTAAATAAAACAATGTAAATAAAACAACGTAAATAAAACAACGTAAATAAAACAACGCAAATAAAACAACGTAAATAAAATAACGTAAATAAAACAACGTAAATAAAAAAGCGTAAATAAAACAATGTAAATATAGGAGGCCCAGCTACAGAAAATCCTGTCTATGTCGTGTAAGATCATATTTTCAAGCCAAATGATCTATATGGTGGAATTTGCGAAAACGATTTTATGGTTAATGTCAGTCTGCGACCCAAGACATTTATACTGGACCTCCAGGGATCATTATTTCAATAAAGCACCGCCATCATTTAATTTGATAATTGGAGAAGCAAGAAATAGATAAACAAACTCGGTCTTAACCTCAATGATTAGTTTGTGCAAGGGCCGTCAATAATAATAATAGAGTGGAAAATGAACATATATGCAACGATAAAAATGCAAATTCGATAAATCTTGGAATTTTTATCTAAAAATAAAGTTGCGACGAATTACTCATTATAATTGTTAGGCTGCAGGCTTGGCTACCCTGTTCTCATAGAATAATCCAATATCCATAACCTTCTAGAATATTCTGAAATATTTATTTTACTTTTAGTTCAGGAACGGTCATCAAAATTAGTTTTTAACAAGGTCGATTATATTTTGTTAAATTTCTAGCTTACTCTCAGAAAATTAATCTGGCTTTCTATGGGAGGTAATTAGAATTACACTTACATTCACATTCTCAGATTCAAATAAAAAGCATGCGAGATCACCTGGTCAAATGAGCGGGAAACGGAGAACATGAAGCTCTGGTGACGTTATAGTCACGTGACCTCAGGCTCATAATCACGTGACCTCCGACCCGATGAATTGGGTTTTGTCTTGGTCAGCTCCCTCTTACTGATATCTGGATAATATCCGGTTGGAAGAGACAAGGACAAATGAAACAAGGAAGTTAGGAGTAAGGGCAGATTTTCGGCGTCAACGCCATCTTCAGGCTAAAATTGGTATAAATGTTAGTATATAATTATAAATGCTTCTATACTAGTTAAAATGCTAAATTGAAATTACATACACTGAATACAGGTTACATCAAATGGTATTATATAATACATTGAAAATGGTGATGTACACACGTTTTACACTCTGTCCAAGTACATAATATCTACTGAACATAAGGGTCGTGTGCTATTTGTTTAAATTTGTCTCTGAATATGTTGTAAAAGAAATCCCTTAAGCTTCTCGCACTCTTCTTTGTTATTGATACTAGGTTTAAATATATTAATGTAGTAAGCTTCTGTCACTTTTCGTTTAATGGTGCTATATAAGTTAATTTCTAAAATATCGAAAGAAATGTCTGGTTCTAAGTTATTGTGAAACTCTGAATAATGAGCAGCCAACGCATTATCAGGATAGGTTAAAGGCCTGTTGACTGCTCTTCGATGCTCTGAAAATCTATCGTGTGCTGTTCTACTCGTTTCCCCTATATATAGCTCTTGACATAATTTACACGTGACTTTGTATATGACACATTTTGGTTTGCAGTCGTGATTTGTTGTGATGAGTGGACATATGACACAGTTTGGTATGGTGCAGTGTGGTTTGTCGTGTGGTCGTGATGAACATAAGATATCTGAGAGTTTCTTACCAGGTGAGAGGGAAAATTGAGTGACTTCTTTGGAAAATGGCTCGTTGATGAATGGTAGAGTGCATGTTACGTGATCGGTATCTTGTATGTGCGATGATGAAGGGTTGTGTCGTGTTGAAGGTGAGAGAGGGTGAAGTCGTCCTGTTTGGTTTATACGTCGTGGGTCTTGGTAACCGTTGTTGACCAACAAGTTGTCTACTATCTTCATGGACTCTTCTTTATACTCTGGTGTTGATGAGCAATAAGCAGCCGTTTTGTAGAAGTTCTTGATGGTGGCTACTTTTGTTCCCTCATTGTGGTGGCTGTTTAATAAAACAAAAGTTAATAAAACAAAAGTTAAATTTATTACCAATTATTCAATCAATACATATCATAAATTCTAATATTGGAAACACAATGCAAAATGGATGTCTTAAACTATAATTTCGTTGTGACTAATAATCTATTGACTTTCAAAGTTGAATTTTAGTTAGGTATGAAATGCCACCACATCATAGTTAGGGTAAAATGTTATTTTTAAATTTTAAAATTGAGAAGATTGCTCTATGGCTTAAAATTTAAAATTCTAGCAAAAGATATCTTATTTTTAAATAGTTGGTTACATTTTATGACAGTACTGGCATGACTAGTTTTATTGTGGCTGGTAAAAGGACCCAGTTGCCTGTAAGGGCTTTACTGAACCCCAGGGGACCACAATGTGATAAGATCAGGCCAGATGTTTCTATGTAGAGCAATTTATTTATTTTGGAGCTATGGTTATATGATATTGCTGGTGGTCATGTTTAAAGGTCAGTTTATCCTTGTGTGCTAATTATCCATCCAGATGCTTAGTGATGTGGGTAAATCATGCCCTTCTACGATATATAATGTTTGACCATAAATTTGTTTTTACCACATAAACTGTGGCACTAATGTCAATTAACAATATTTACATTCATTGATATTTAAAGCGTGTTTTTCCCCAGCACTACTACACAACAAAAACCTGTCGGCCCACCGAGGAAACACGGTCGCAGAACAAAGAGCCCAATTGTGCTCTTCTATTCTGTGATCATGTGTATCTACTATAAACTAGCTAAATATACTAAGAAAATTTAATGGAATCATTACAGTCGTTTGATAAGTTCACGTGTCAAAGTAATGTTCATGGTGATCATATTTTTGGATCCCCGGTGGGCAAACACTCGTCCGAAAGGTCAAGGCAAACCTGTCGATGTTTCACCATACGAAGTAAGGCGATTTGAACATAAACTCAGCTTACAACTCAACCCATGGGACGAGACGTCGTGAGCCTCAAAATTCTTCAAAATATATAGCACATACCTAGTTAGCAAACACTAAACACAACATACATACATACGATACCAAATAATGTATAATGCCATTACTACATTCGAAAGAAAAATATCTGCTATCTAATTTAAAAAATTGAAGAATAAACCTGAAGAAAGTAGAAGGAGAGGGGTTTGGGAGAGGCAGAGTAGGAAAACAACAGGATCCTGTGCCGCAGGATTTTAAAATTTGTTGTATGATGATTCGTTTTGTTTTGTCTCTTAGATTAATATAGGTCTGATACCCTTGTCATGGTTCTTTGCAATAACACCGTGTTGGCGTGCAGTGTGATATTATTTTTCTGCTTCTTTCTGTAGAATTTGTGGTGTAGTGTTCCCTGCTCGTCTATCTTTATCTGGGTGTCGAGGAATGGGGTGAAATCCTGACGGCTTTCCGGATAGTCAATTTCCCACTTGAGCAACTGGTCTGGGTCCTCGTTTGAAATGGACTCCACTATCCTCAGAGATTCTTCTTTGGAGCTAGCTAGACTCCCGGCATCATCCACGTATCTCCGGTAGAATGAGATGTGTCAATCAGTGTAAATCGATCTTCTTTCGAACATATATACTCGCACTATCGCTCCAATTGGTGATGGTTGGCACCCCATGAAGAGACCAATTTTCTGGAGGTAGAGTCTTGAGTGATATGGATTTTTAAACAGGATTAAACATAAAATTACCAGAGAGAACACTAACGGACTCGTCTTGGCTATACAAGAATGAATAAATGAATAAATAAAATTATCAAAACTG